AATCATTTATTACTACATACTTTGTTAACACGTATTGGTTTCCCATATAATTTGATTTGATTCATTATTTTTATTGCGTAATCAGCATCATCTTCACTCATATACTCGCAAAATCCATAACCTTGATGTGTTTGAGTAACACGATCTTTTGGTAAATGGACATTAACTAAGAAGAAAAGACAAAAAGGTAGTTTGGTAAATAAATTTATTTGTAAGGAGGAGGAGAAGGAGGAAGAGGAAGTAAAGGAAAACTTACCAACGGGACCAGCTTGAAGCATTAATTCCCAGATTAGTGCTTCAGTACATCTTTCATCCAAGTTTCCTATATATACAGTAGCATCTTGATTCCGTTCTTCAGTAAGACGAGACATTTTATATTGAAAGAGTCCCGTAAATATGATTGACCAATTATTTGTTGTTACAAAAATTATAATTACAAAAAATAAAAAATAAATGCTAAATCCAACCAGTAGTACAAGTCGCGATATTGATGATGTTTTGACTTCACACAATTGGATTTTGTCGATTGTTTAAAAAAATTCCAGACTTCGGGTCAAAGTTTAATAATATGTCTTTTTTTTTTTAATTATATGTAAATTTCCTCTTTATATAATAACTTAATAGTGTATATTAATATAGGAATTGGCAAAAATAAACAGTTCCTTAAATCAATATTTATCAAAAATCAAAGAAATGGCAACGTATCTTAGGTAACTTTAAGACTATTGATCTTTTTATATAAATTTAGGGACCTTGTAAAATTAGCTTGTTTGATCCAGAAAAATGTAACCTACAATATATCAAATCAAAATTTGTGGCAAAAGTTGCGGATAAGATTTTAAAGGATACTATTATTTCAGAGATGTTGAATAATATCAAAACAATAAAAAAAGTTGATAAGCATGAAAACTATATCAATTATAATACATTCGACGTTTATTATTGTTGTTATAAGATTATTGTAAGTTTAATTAATATATATACATTCTCATTCTAAAGAGATTATCAATTAAAAAAATTTTTTTTTAGTACAAACCTTGTTTCGTTGAATGAAGACTATTTTAATCAAACTTACCCAGAATTACATATAGGATCTCTTGTACATGGTCAATTACTTATAATATTATTTAGAAGCAAGCTATATTCGTAATTATTTTTGATTAATATTTATCTCTTTTTTATAAAAAATTGATACTTATTAACTCTCCATTTGAGTAAAGGAGTCATTACGCTAATAAAACCAGGAGAAACTTTTATAGTCTTGATAACCGTCGAGCACTTATACCTGACACAGGGTTGGCAAATTGACTGGTCCATTGAGAACGGATGGATTTTGGACTGGACCATTGTCATTAATAAAATACTAAAAATGGTTAAAGTGTTACACTAATGGACCCAATAGACCATCAATGGACTGCACATTTGCCAACCCTGACCTAACCTTAATGTACAAAAAGAGAGAAATGGAAACATTGGTTGTTGAACATAGCAAAAAAACAGCTAATAAGGATTTAAGGAAAAGATCAACGACTTTACAAAAATCGCGATCCTTTTTACACGATCAATTTGCAGAAGCTTTCAACATATTAAACAAAGAAGGGAAGGGACATTTGATAAAGACTTGAAAATGTTTGGTATTGTAACCTCGAGTAAGTAATAATTATGTATACATTATATACACACATTAAAGCTAACTTCAACTAAATAAATAGAATCGAAGATAACGGCATCCTGACTATAATATAGACAGTATTATAGAAATTTCTTTGAGAAAAAGAATTTTTTGAGTACATAGTTGTAAGGAAATTGGTGCACAAGAAAAAAAATAATATTTTTTATTGACGTTTTCATCATTAGAGAAGAATAAGAAGAACAAGAAGAATAAGAAAAGAAGCAAATAACCCTCCTGAGAGGAATACTGCAAGTAAGTATTGTTAGAGGAAAGAAATTCGATGATTTTTCTAGTTGCCATAATTATCAAAATCATCTTACGTGATCATTTGAACTCTTAAAAATTAACGACATATTATTATATGTAAAGAATATTGAGAATTCGTTGCTATAATTACTTTCCCTCCAAAAATGGAAACAACTATTACTATATTTTGATTTCGATTAATTTTTAATTACACGGATTTCGACTTTTTGTATTTATTGATATTGAGAGGAAAAAATCATTGAAAAAATCCAAGAAAAAATGACGAAATTACTAGAGATTACACAACCACAATAGTGTATGTTATTATTTATTTTTTCTTATAAATAATGGCCATTATAACTAGTAATTATAGTTAGTTGTCTTATGTAATGAATGATAGGACTTGAAGTTACCAAGTGGCAGACTAATCAAGGATCTTCCGTTGCAAATATATAATGATGCAAAAGAACAGCAAGGTATTTTGATTTTGTGATTTGTTGTTTATATCAATATGCAATATAACCAACCTTCGTTTCAACGGAATGGCTGAACACATAACAATAAGAAATTTTCATTTAAAATCCGTTGAAACAAGGGTTATACAGTAAGTAATAATCTAATAATGATAATGATTAGTGTTTCGGGCGAAACCTAACCCTTTCGCCCAATCCGAATCCCGAAACTGGTGCGAAATTAGTTTCGCCAGACACCAGGATTCCCAAAATGTCCGAAATAGCCCAAATCCGAAATTAAAGCTGAAAGGCGAAATTTTATCCGAAATCATATAGTATTTTTCATGAAGATCAATTGGTTAACATTTAAAAATGGAAGAAAACGAAACAATAAATGACCATTCATCTTTAGTTACGGAAGAAAAATATACAACTGTTGGTAAAGTGATTGTTGATGAAATGAATCAAACCAACATTTATTTTTACGTTATCAAATTCACGATTTTGATTGGTCAATCAACAATTGTATGGGTTAAAATTTTGTTACCTGTTCTTGTTCCTTCGCTCAAACAAATAATTGTTTTTATGTGTCAATACTTAGTAAACATTCTGTTCTTGTGATAATTCTTGTTTGTAATAATAATTCACATTTTTAAATTTTTTATTACAATGGTTTTTTTTTTGACAGTAAAATAGTTTATTTGGCTGCCTTTAAACTTTTTCTAACAGGATTAATTGATAAAGATTTAAATAAATTATTAATATAAATTGAAAAATAAAAATTGCATCATTTAAAGAACAACTTGACCACCAAACTCTGGCGATTGATTTGTTGTGATTCAGCATTCTTTTCTATTTCATCATCGTTTTTAAATCTTCAAAATTAAAATTCACAAAATCTGTACCAAAACTTGTCTTATGTGCTATGTAAAGGATAAAAAGCAACACAACTATTGAAGATCTCACTTTCACTTCCAATCACACATGGAAAACTTCTTTAGACAATTTGAAAACACCAAAAAACGATTCAATGTGTAAAATTTGATTAATTATTGGAAATTTCCAGATACAGACAGTCAAAGCTCGTTAAATTCATATTTTTCAGGAATCAATGCCAGTTATATTAAAATTCTATAATAATAACAAAATCTTAATGATCGATAAAGTCATAACTCTCTTACTTTTTTATCATATAAAAAAAAAAGCCTGTTCTTTAAATTGATAATAATTACTATTATTGCAAAAAGTGAATTCAAGCTTTCAAATTAAGCGTAGAAATACAGATGATAATGAGCGAAAAATAATTTATCTTCTCTTGAAAAACGTAGAATTTGCGAAGAGCTTTTAGCTAATATTGTAAATAATAATTGGGAATGTTTCATAATTACATATTTTTTTTATATTTTTATAAAAAAAAATCTCCAAGTCATTCTCATTATATTGTGAAATTAAAGAGTGACTCTCGACAATGGCATAATTCGATAAATTCATAAAATTTACTGTGCCAGACTATATATGATGGCGAAAGTCATTTAATAAAATTCGAACCTTTACTTAAGTTTTCGAAATTTGAAATCGAAATTTGAATCAAGATTCTAATTTTGAAATATCATAAATTAAGTTGAAATAAAAATTAATTTGCAATGAAAATAATATTTGTTGAATCGTAAAAATCATTTAATTCCTTTTGGTTATTATTTTTCTTTTCTTTCGATTTTCTTTTTGGTTATTATTATTAAACAAACTCCTTGATCCAAGAATATTTGAAGAATTAAAAGTTACCAATGAATTTGCATCGCCCAAAAAAATAATCATTTTGGTAGTAACTTCAAGATAAAATTGTTTTATTTCAATAGGTTGATTTGGACATCTATTCGCCAAATGCTTTGCAGACTTCTTTTTGTTCCATTATCATTACGGGATATACCTGACATTGTTTGTGCACATTTTAATAAAGGTACAGTAAGATATCCAGGCCAGTATTGTTCTACTGGGGGTTTTAAGAGTTGGCAAATAAAGGCTTCGAGAATCAAAATTGCTTGACGTAATTCAAAAGCAGTATTTTAGAATTTGAATCAGAATTTCGAATTTCGAGTTTTGAAAATTCTCTGGAACCGTGATTATCGAAATTAGTTTCGAAACCAACCTATTTCGCCATCATAATCATGTATGTGCCAGACCTACGAGTTTAACTGTATTAAAATGCATCACTCCAGGGCTCTAATATTTAAAACATCACATCCGATGATATAACAATATGATTTGATTCAGGGGCTCATGACCCTGAAGTTTATTGCCAAAATAAAGAATTAATCCAAATCCAAAAGCAGTTTTCTGATTATCTTATTTATGAAGACTTCCACCAAATGCCCTATCACGATTTGAACAACTTACCTCCCAAAAAGATAAGATTTTTGGCTAACTTTCGGCAACCGCTTCCCTATTTTCAATTGTTAGAAAACAAAAAATTAATCAATCAGCAACAAAATTAGCAAGATTGGCAAAAAATTAGGAGGAATTGCATCGTTGTCAAAGAGGCTGTTAAGCCTATCTCTTGACCGAATCTCTTCATCTATGGAGAAAAATATATAGATATGAACTACGGCGATTGCACACTCGTGAAAGGAAAATTTTATCAAATGAACAGGGTTAGCGTCGGACATGGATATTAATTATCCTGCTAAGTGTAAAACATCACCTCATCCAAGCAACTTCAACCCCGTCATCTAAAACACCAACTCTGATAATAATCAACCACCAACCAAATTCAACTACCATCATCAGGAACGCAAAGTCACAACACACCTTGAATATATTGTCAACCCTGCCTATAATCATCAATATTAGATTTATTCATTTTATTTTTTTGGAAATGTTTTCAAGGAATTCTGGATTGCAATTGGGGACATGCACACGCGCGTGTGCGCACACAAAATGAAGGAAATCAAGTAAACTAGAGTTCCCACAGCAAATTATTATCTTACATGGAAAAGAGGCTCGG